TCAGTCCTAAGCACAGGTACATAAGGGCAACACTAATTGGACTCAGTAAGGAGGGAGGGAGGGAGGCACACACACACACACACACACGAATGCATGCATTAGAAGGGGATGGAGGATGTGGGAAGAATTAGGGTGGCTAGTAATTATAGAAAATACCATGAATTTGAGAAGACTGGGGCATAGGAGTAGTTGCAGTGGGGACAGAAAGGGGTTGAAATGATGTAAATACAGTGTATTCATGTATGAAATTCCCAAAAATAAAATAAAAAATAAATTAAATGAAAAGATTCTGTTGAAAGTGCTAAAAGAGGATGTTCACAAGCATCAGTGCAATTCTTCTAAGAGGCCACAACATTCTACGCAGTCAGAGTACTGGGGTTAGTAAAGCTACTTCATACTCTATAATTTCTACCTTTAATGAGAGAAAGGATTTTTGTAGTCCAACAAAGGAGAACTGTCCTTAGATGATGCTCCTTGAGGGATTCCCAAGTATTCAGCTTCACATGACTGGGCATTTGTATCCCACTGGCCTTTTGGATTCATGGCAATTATCATCCTTCCTTTCATCACAAAGATTATTAGATACTGATTTGAATGCAACATAATTCTGGGTTTAGCTGGCACGATCTAAATGCACTGGATCAGATGTGGCTGAACATTCAAGGACAACAGCAGATGAGTATTCATAAACCTGGACATCACATGAGATAAGCAGATAAAGCAACTCAAAGAAATCTGACTCTACTGTGATTAAAAAGCAGCTATAGGCGCTGAAGAGATGGCTCAGCAGTTAAGAGCACCGGCTGCTCTTCCAGAGGTCCCGGGTTTGATTCCCAGCACCCACATGGCGGCTAATAGCTTTCTGTAACTCCAGTTCAGGGGATCTACACCCTCTTCTGACCTCTGTGGGCATTTCATGACACAGAGAATACACTCAAATATATAAAATAAAAATAATAAATTTTTTTTTAAAGAAGGAAGCTGTGGGTAGAGTTCCTTTGCCTGAAGGTGAAGGTTATTCACTTTAAGCACTTGTTTCACACTATACTGACCTGGAGCCAGAACACAGCACATGTTACAAGCAAATGAGCAGGAACATAAATTATGAGAGAAAGAATGAGGTCCTGGATCCCCAGAAGTCTTCATCATCACAACAAAGAACAGTACAAGACACCACAGGGAACAAGAAATTTCAAAAGATGGCTTCCTATGCCACTCTAAGGCAGCATCAGGAGGGTCTGGTGATAGATTCTGGGAGAGGCAAGGGAGGGAGAGTCAAGACTATCTTCCAGGTTGCCATCCAGGCGCAACAACTACTGTCAGTGCCATTTAATGAGACTGAATGCACTGAGGAAGAGCTGGTATTGGGGAGGAGGGGTGGCAAGCAAGGGAGATCAGAAATTGGATGGAGACAAGCTCAATGTCAGGAGTCCAGGAGATAGCACCATAATCTATCTGACTTTCTTCAGAGGGTTATAATGACAGGGTTTCCCTAGTACATTGAAAAACGCTATCAATGTTTTCAAAATGTATTCAATAGAAAAATCTTTATCTCCAGCTTTTCTCAAAGTCCCTCTCAGTTTCCAAATAAAGTCACAGAGAATTGGAAAACTAATGAACAACTTTAAGACTGAGAGTTGAGATAAATTTGGGGAAGGAAAAAAACAGGTTCATATTTTTCTTTCTTTAAAGTCCATATACTTCCACCCATTAGTCTAAGGGACAATTTGGGAGTCCCAAAGGGAGACTATGTTGGATCAAGATTCAGTGGTCACTGGTTTGTTGTGTAACAAAGTACCACATGCACAGCAGCTTAAAACAATACAATTCATAATCTCACAATTTCTATAGGTCAGGGGTCAGCTGGATGCTATTCTCCAATTCTCACACCAGAATGAAGGCACAGGGTCACACTCTTACCAAAAGTTGGGAGCCCTTTTCCTAACTTGTTCTGATTATGGTAGAATTTTATTACTTGTGGTAGCTGGACTGCAGTCCATGATCTCCCTGCTATATGTTGCCCTGGGTCATCCTAGTCCTTGACATGGGACCCACTCCCTATGAGGCATCTGCTACTATTTCTCATCTCTTGTTAAGAGCTTTCTGGGGCTGGAGAGATGGTTCAGCAGTTATGAACACTGGCTGTTCTTGTAGAGGACCCAGATTCAATTCCCTGGGAACTGGACTGGCAAGCTAACAAGGGTCCATGACTCTATTTCCACAAAAACCCAACACCCTCTCCTGATCTCTGCAGGCATTGCACAACATGGTATACCTACCTACACACAGGCAACACACACAATACACGTAAAAATAAAAAATTTTTAAAAATATTTATTATTTACTTTTATTTTATGTGTGTGTATTGTCTGCATGTAGGTAAGTGCACCCATGTCATACAATGCCCACGGAGGACAGAAGAGGCTGTTGGATCCTCTGGAACTGGAGTTATGGACAGTTGTTAGCTGCCATGTGGGTGCTGGGATTCAAACCCAGCCAGAAGAGGGCATCACATTCCTTGGAACTGGAGTTACAGATGGTTTTGTTAGCTGATGTGGGTGCTGGGATTCAAACCCAGGTCTTCTGCAAAAACAACCAATGTTCTCAACTGCTGAGCCATCTCTCCAGCCCCAAATAATAATTTTTTTTTAAAAGAGTTGTCCTGATAGTGCTGTGGCAGAATAGGGACTGAACTAAAACATGAAGTTTTAGTTTAGTCAGTTTGCTGAGGAAACCAGTGCTTCATTTGAGGAACAGACCATACATGATAAAAATCCAAGAAATACAAATGAGAGGGGCAGGAATTATCAAGGGCTATATCCACACACCACATGTCTGGAGGCTTTGGGGGCTCATTCCTCAGTACTCTAGTAAACTTCCATTCTTGGGGCTTTTCCTTTCTTAGTAAGCTTACTCTATATTTCTAATCATATGTCCCTGGTGTAATCCTTTGCCCTGGGACAAAAAAGACTGGAATCCAGTGCCCTCTGAACTCTGCTCTGCAGCTCTGCACCCGTAAGCATGGTTTCCTAGACCGGCCTTTCTCACCATTATTTTTTCTGATCACCACAGTTAACATAAAGGCATGATTTTTTTTTTCCTCCATCTCCCTCCTAGTGATGATCAGAATTTTCAGCTTGTTTGTAGTTTCTTTTCTGTGAAACTCTAATAAAATTATCCTAGCACTTCCTTCTCGGTCTACTTTTTGTTGGTTCTTTTTTGTTTTGCTTATAATTTTATGAATTCTTTGAGAATTTCATACAGTGTACTCAGTCCTATTCATTTAGACTCCCTCTCCAACTGTACCCCTATTGGGTGACACCCCCCCCATACTGCTTCATGTCTCTATTTTTTTATTAAAGGCCTACTGAGTCTAATTTGTACTCTCCCTTGGAACCTTGTCAACCTACCTGGCATCACACCCTTAAACTGGCTCTCCCTCTCCCAGAAGCTATCAATAGCCATCATTAGACACTTGAATCACATTGGCCACACTAATCATGGCAGTAACAATTCATCACAGTTACAGACCCACCAACATAGGGGAAGGAATTATACACAAGGGCATGAGTCTGCCTACTAATAGTAGAGTATCAAGGACATATATGAAGAAATAAATAATTCAAAATGGTAAGCCACTGAGCAAGCAGCAGTAAAGAAAGGTGAAAGGAAATACCATTGGCTTCTACCTCAAAGGTGCTGAGAAATTAACAAGTGATATTTAACAAGAAAGTTCATCCAACTGGGGCACAAAGTGAGTACCAGGGCAGGCAGGACTACAAAAGAAGACCGTGACTCACACAAACATGCAAGCAACAACAACAAAAAGGGTAACGCAAAAATTCTGGGTAAAAACTACAAACACGATCAGGACTTCCTCTAAGCAGACAAAATCCTTTAATATGAAAAGATATACTGTAAATCAGTGAATTGGTATGTAGTCTAAAAAGTAAATAACTATATCCAGATGTTTTGGCCAGAATGGAGATGGGAAAAAGTAATACAAGAGAGTGCTACAATTCTTTAAAAACAAACAAAGAAGCAAAAAACAAGACAGTAATCAGCACATCCACCACAATGGCAAAATCTTAGGTGGATAAAAGTTACATGGCATTGAAAACGTTGAAAAACTGGGGTTTTTGCACAAATTCTGATAAATTTCCATAATTGTAAAATACATGTTAGTACTTTTTTTTTTTTTTTTTGAGACAGGGTCTCCCTGTAGTCCCAGCTATCCTGGGACTCACTATGTAGACCAGGCTGGCCTCAAACTCACAGAGATCCACCTGCCTCTGCCTCCCAAGGGTTGGGATTAACGGCGTGCGCCACCATGCCCAGCCACATGTCAGTATCTTTTAAACACAAACATATGCCTATCTCATGACTCAGCACCTCTACCCTTTAAAGTGATCCCAAGAGAAAAGAGTACATGCATACAAAACCCTTTAGAGCAGGTTTATTTGACACCCTCAAAATGGAAGTAATAAAATCTGTTAAAATGAGAATGAATACATTCTCTAAGGTCATAGAATGGAATACTACATTATATACAACAAATTGATTCACGTAACAAAAATAAATCTCACAGACCTTTTGCTAAGTAAAAACAGCCAGACGCTGTTTTAAAGAACAGGCAAAATGAAGTGACAGCATTAGAAAAAAAATCAGAAAAGTGTTGACCATCAGGGGATGGAACTGACCAGAAAAGGCATGAGATATCTGTCTGGCTATATATAGACACATAAACAGCTAAACATTGGAGATAAGTACACTGTACACATTTTACTTTGGATATATCTGCCACAATAAAAAGTGAACTATAATAAAAGTGATAATATCAATAAAGAAAAGTAGGAGATAAGACTGTTGTGGGGAGAACAGAAAGGATTTTCCCTTATAGGGATCTAAAGTTTATTAGAGATACAACTCCTATTTAAATTATTACTTATAAAAATACTGACAGCAACTACAATTTTTAAAACATAAAACACAGCAACACAGCCCTCAGGTTCTCCTTCCCATCAGATCTCAACATTGGTCTTGGTGGTTGCAAAGGAGGGAGAGCACGCTGAAGCTGGCCTCACAGCCTTGTAGCCTGGTATAAGCATGTGGGCTGGATTCAAACAGGGCTGTGTTTAAAAACAAAACAAAACTAAACAAAACACAGCAACACAGAAGCCATTTAAAATGTAGTATATCATAAAATTATTAATATGAATAATTATATAATAGTATAGTATTTAAATATAGAAAATACAAGTTACTTAAAATAAGCTAGTTCCCTCTGGGCAACATATTTGTTTTAATAATTACGTGAAAATCAAAGGAAATATGTGAGTGAGAAGGAATTTCAATTTTGTGTGATGTTACACTAAATTCTGTATTTCCATTAAGGATACTATATCTACTGAGTTGTTCAGAGTAAACAACTTAGGCATGATTGAAATCACTAAATTTAGGTGCCAATAATCATTGTGGCAAAACATCTTTCATTACAATTATTAAATGACTGTGTAGTGGGGCACACCTGTTAGTCCCAGCACTCAGGAGACAGAAGCAGGTTGATCTCTGTGAGCTCAAGGCCAGCTTGGTAGGGAGTTCCTGGTCAGACCAGGCTATATAAGGAGACCCTATTTAAAAAAAGAAAATAAAAAACAAAAACAAATCCACCAAGAAGGTATGGAATTACTGGTTTTCAATAAGAGTCTCAGGATCTACATAAAGTTCATGGTGGTAAATGGTTTGTTTCAGTGACAGGCTTGATTCTATCAGCAACCATGCTATGAGGAATATGTCTATTAACAGGGAATTGCTGGCCTCCCACGACAACTAAAAAATTATTTTTCAGGTGAGCTACAAATTTGGTTACCTGATTCAGTGGTGGTTAACTTTAATGTATTAACTTGACTGGGCAAACAATACTCAGATACATAGCTGCTAAGATATTATTTCTGGGTATATCTTTGAGAATATTTTAATCCTAGACTGGGAAAGGAAAATCTCCCTCACCAATGTACCATTCAATCCACTGAGGGCCAGGACAGAACAAAAAGCCAAAGGAAAGGTGAATTCATCCTTCCTGCTTGAGCTGGGACATCCACGCTCTACCCACAGACACAGCTGCTTCCAGCTTCCTTCCCTAACGAAACCAGAACGTAAGCCACTCCAGCTCTGGGGCAGAGACCTTACACTGGCATCTACACCACTGACCCTGTTTTCAGGGCTTATGGCTTAGAATGAAATTTTTATCCCATGATTTGACATATCATGGGACTTCTCTGCCTTCACAGTTGAATAAGCCTACCTCCCCTACCCTTTCCATATACCTATCTATCTACCTACCTACCTATCCATCCATCCATTGTGCTCTATGGAGAACTCTGAAAAATATGCATACATCTTTTTTTTTTTTTTTTTTAGAATTTATATTGTTTTAAAAAGTAATTTCAGGGGGCTGAAGAGATAGCTCATTGGTTAAGAGAACTTGCTATTCTTCCGGAAGACTTGAGTTCAGTTCCTAGCACCAATGTTTAGTGGCTCACAGCTTCCTGTAATTCTGTTCCAGGGAATCTGACACCCTCTTCTGGCCTCTTAAGCACCTGCACACATGTGGTATGTACACAAACAGACATAAACACATAAACATAAATAAAAATAGATCTTTAAAAATAGTAATTTCAACCTCTCTTTCTTTTAATAATTGGATCCTGATGGAGCTCACACAAAAGGTTACTCTGCCTAACATCACCGTGACCCTGACTCCAGAAGCCACACTCTGAACCTCTGGCTAGCTCTGAAACTCTTGACATGAGGAGCAGATGGACAGATTCAAATGGTTGAGAATCGAAGACCCTGGAACTTTTCAGATAAATGAACTTTGCAGGAAAATTTTAACTTCTTTTTATAAGTGAGAAAACTAGTTAAGTGATGTGCACAGGTTTGCAGAGAAATTTACCTGCAATGCACTTAAAAAAGTTGCATGGTATCTGGATTTTAATACTAATGCAGAATGGATCTAAGAATAAAAATAAAAGTCATATTATTCAGAGACTAAAATGGGTACTGTAATTAACAGATTAACCACAGCTTAAAAAGAATAATTTAGGATTTGCAATATAAAAAATAAAGGGGGGGTTCCTGCTCGACCATGGTTGGCTTCGCTTGGAAGCACAGAGGAAATGATTCCTTTGTGTTGACCCTCCTCTTTATAGACTGGACACTGGTTCAAGTCCATCTGGGGGGTCCCCTCGGCCTCCATGATCAAGAGGACAGGTGACCCACCACCATTATAGACATTTTGAGAGATGCTCATAGTCCCCTGGAACTTGTCGACCTAGGAGGGAAAGGAGCAAAGTGTCCTTTATGTCCCTCTGACCAAATTATTATAGGCCTCAAAGTACGTCTCTTAAACACCCAAGAAGGTGAGTTCCACCAGTCTGGTATTTTTAATTATTGTGTGTCATGTAGATAAATCTTGGGCAAAGCCCATCTGTTCTCAGATAAACCTTTGACTTATCTTCATATAGGCGGAACTGATAAAAGAAAGGAGCCAGGGGCTCCTCCCAAGCCATGTGACCCATGAGGAACAGATCCTCAAATGGCCTTAAGAGTAAAAATAAATTGGTTTATCTGGTCCAACTGTATGGCCTTAAACACCCAAAAAGAAGGTATAACCAAAGATTAAAGGGGCCAATGAAATTTCTTAAGAGTCCATATGCATAGCTAAAGGCTACATAACAAGCAACAGGACACTGGTTCAAGTCCATCTGGTGGGGTCTCCTCAGCCTCCTTGATCAAGAGGACAGGTGACCCACCACCGTTATAGGACATTTTGAGAGATGCTCATAGTCCCCTTGAACTAGTCAACCTAGGAGGGCAAGGAGCAAAAACTGTCCTTTATGTCTCTCTGACCAAATTAGTATAGGCAACACAGCAGACAGTAGCAGGGATATCAGAATATAAGGGCTCTAGTGGGGGAAGGGAGGCTATAGGAGGGTGCTATCTGGGAAGTAGGAATAAAAATAAATAAATAAATTTTTTTAATTAAAAAAAATTCTTCAAAGCATAAAAATTTCCTCCTTAATTGGTGGATGTGAAAAACATTACCACTGAAATCTACCTGATAACTTTTTATCCATGCTCAGTTGCCAAGGAGCTCAGAAAGTAACCGACTGTGATTAGTAATAATCAGATATACAGAGAAAAGAAACGCATGTGCAAACATCTTAGTGTCAATTGCATTAAAAATGAATTTTTCTGTATGAAACTGTGTGTTTTAATAATGAAATGGAGATCTTTTTTAAAGGTTAAAACCTCATTTAATTTTATGTCTTATAGGGTTTAAACTGAGTTCAATATTGTATAACTGTATTAATTCAACTGTAAACCTAAAAATTTACAGCCAATTTTGAAGGAGATGCATCTTAGCTCTGGAAATTGTTATTGAATATGTCAATGCTGTTGTAATGAAAAAAGTAATAATAAAGAGGGGTGCTGGAAAGATGTCTCAGCAGTTACAAGCACTGGCTGCTCTTGCAGAAGACCTGGGTTCGGTTCCCAACACACATGGTGACTGGCAACCATTTGACTCCAGTTCCAGGGGATCTGCTATCTTTTTCTGACTTCCTTGGGCATTGCACAACATGGGTATGTTTACAGGTATGCAGGCAATAGACTCATACACATAAAAAATAAAAAAGAATTTAGAAAAATAAATAAAATAAAAAGGGGAAGAGGGTAGGGTGACAGCTATAACTCCAACATTTTGGGCTTGGGATTGAAAATGGTTATAGGTATTCATAAATTGCTAAAAGCCTAATACTTGAAGAAGAAAATAACACATTAGTCAAATTACATTAGGTTAGATTAGATACATCTAAATAAACTGAGAAACTTTGGCTATCTTCACAGTAATCTAACACTACATAACAACTACTCCCCTCAGATCAGCAAGATGGCTTGGCAGGCAAGGGCCCTTACAACCCAGTTTTGCAACCTGAGTTCAATCTCCACCCCCAATCCCTGACTAATGTGGTGAAAGGAGAAAGACAACCAACTCCTGCAAGTTATCTTGATTCCCATGCAAGTTGTGGCATGTGCATGCACAAATATATACACGTGTACACACACATACACACACACACACACACACACACAAAATGAATAAATAAATGTAAATGTACCCTGTTTGAATTTCAGTGCTTAACAAAAAAACTTCATTATCTACTCAGTTCACCAGATTGGAAGATCGGTAATCAGCCAAAATGTGTCTCTTGCTCAAACCCAACAAAGAATATCATGTCTAACTGATTCTACTTCCAAATTAGCTTTTGAATCTCTTCCCACTTGTCCTACGAAGCTGGCAGAGTCTTCTATAGGCTTTCACCTGAAGTAACAATACAACTTGCTCCTTGTCATCAATATCACTGCACTCCATTTTCTACACAGACATCAGGCCACTTTTTCTAAAACACAGGTCTGTTACCTATATAAAATCCTCAGAAACTGACACCTCAACATCCATAAGAGAAAACCCAAACTTTTATGTTATATTATACCAGCTCTTTGGAGATTTGGTCATCTCTCTCTTTTATCCAGGTCCAATCTCCCTCTCACACTGTGCTTCAAGCACAACAAAATGCATATAATTGCATGGCAGTTACATGTAACATCTGTGTACTCAGTTACATTCTCTCCCTAGTGCAGTGAGCTCCTTTGCCTTGGGCAGTTGGCCAACTCATTTTCCAGCTTCATGCAAGGATTCTTCCTTTGTAATGTCTTCTGTGACTTCTCCAGGAAACATAAGTATCTTGTACTTCATGCTCAAAAATAGTTGTAACACTCGCTAGAACTATGACTATCTGCATGCCACACCTTCCATAGCATCCACATTGCCCCCTTATGCAGGAAATGTTCTAGGGGAGGGCCAAGTATAGAGTTGGTCTATAAATGTTGACTCTATCTTGTCACCACGAGTATGTCAGCTGCATAAGCCTAAGAATTGGGCTGAGTAAGTGTTGTTAATGTCATATGACAAATGAGTAATCTAGCTTAGAAAGGTAAAATGACTGGTCCATCAAGTAAAAGTATAATGAAAAATAAGAGCTCTTCCATTAAGCCAGACCATTCC